CATTTAACATAATTAGGGTTGCCAGGTCTTAAAACCAAAAAGCCGGACAGACCAGCGAGCTTAGCAGGACATTTTGTTAAAAAGGCTGGACACCCTCAATTTTTAGTCTTAGTATAACTTGATAATTTTTTTAAAGTAGAACCAATGCTTTTTATTATTTACTATAAAATCTTCTTACATTCTAATGAAATAACAATAGCATTATCATATAAGTCAGTCTTCTTTATTATTAACCATTCAATATTCATTACAATATTAATTTCAATAACCGCAATATTATGTGTGTAAAATACATGAAAAATGAAAAAAAAAAATGTCAAACTTAAAAAGCGTAAAAAAAGCCGGACAAGCTGGTCACCGTCTAATTTGGCCGAACACGCAAACAAAAAGCCTGACTGTGTCCGGCTTTATCCGGACGCCTGCTAACGCTAATCATAATCCATACAAATAAATAAAATTGAAGTGTGTTTGTAATGGCAAAATAACAGCTTTTCTTTAAATGTATTTGAAAGTACAAACGGTACGTACTTATAAAAAAATACATTTTCAAATCTTTTGTCCGCCTGTCTGTTCCGGCTAACCTCAGAAACGGCTACTCTGTTATTATAAAGAGTAGGGATGGATGTAATGATACATAATTGTGCCGATACGATACCGATGCCGATTATTGTAGTAAATAATAGGTGACCTTTAGGGATACCTTTATCGGTGACTGAGTAGAAATAGAAAAATAAACGAATAAACAATGAATAATTTTATCATGCATAAAAGTTACCTATATTTATTAGAGACTGAACCTTGAGAGGGTTGAAAACCAAAATGTCAAATCAAAATTTCAATACAAAAATTCAAAAGAAAACATTTATTTATTAATATAAAGTTTGTTTAAATTATTAGCAGATAATCTGTTACGCTAATCGTTTGGAAAGAGACCAGCAGTTGAAAACAGACACTGAGGTAGCTGAGCTGAGCAAGAATGTCGCGCGCACGTTATTCATTTCGCGCGCTTTTCAAACTCTTGATATCGGTTGTATATAATCGGCGATGTCGATATATCGGTCTGCCGATTACAGCGGCCGATATATCGGTATCGGAATCGTTACATCCCTAAGAAATAGTATATTAGGTTACTTTTATTTAGGGAAAAGAATAAGGGTTCCACGCAAAAAAAAATTAAAACCCATGAAATTGTGAACAAAACTAGATTCAAATAGGGAAGTATAATAAAAAATTACTACAAATTATTCTATGCGAACGAAGTCGCGGGCACAGTTAGTTTCTCATTAAAGGCAGCGCTCGATAATAGGTTGTGGTTTGTTAAAGGAAAATAACAATACGTAATAGTTTTTCGATAAGCATATATCGCGGTGCAATTTTTAACACGATTTTATTAGCTTCGCATGTATCTATCTATCCATGCAATGAAATCTTTTAATGTGATTTGCATACGGCCGATTGACTACACACACCGCTATGTTTCGGTCTGAAGGGTAGATAGAACCAGTATAATTACAGGCTATGAGGCATTCTACCTTAGTCTTCAGAGGTGAGAAGGTATCAGTAGAGTACTTGTTTGAAGTTAGCTGCAGATTTCCATGGACTGCATTAGCCACTTACCAATTAGTGGACTGCATGCTCGTTTATCATTACAGTTTACATTAAAAAAAAATCACTGATGTTTAGTAACTATTAAAGTTCGGAGCTTAATCAGTACTAACAAAGAAAAAAAATTCCTTTTTATAATATATTATTAGTAGATGTAAAAAGACTACCAAATTATAAATTCCATATACAGCAGAATTTTTCTTTCAATTTATAAAAAAAATCTTTATCGTAATTCTCTGACGGCAATAAAGCACCTACAAATATAGCCCGCTATCGTTTAAAAAACAAAAAATAGTGAGCCTTTATGCTACGCAGTATTTATGTAAGTCAATGTTATAATCTCTCTATAAACCATCCACGTGAACTGTCGCAACAGATATGCATTAAGGTGTATCCCTGACCAAAATGTTGCGAAAGTGCGTTTTTCAGACTCTATTACCTCATTAGTTATGAAAAATAAACTAAAACTAAAAGTACATTATTAGTGTTCGATATCTTATCATCACATTCCACGTTCTAATTTATTTTTATGTGAAATAAATAGATTTAAAATCAACTTTTAAAAAATGACTAAAATTCTTGATTACATGCATCTGTTGCTAAACGCAACGCTCTAATCATTTGAGGATAACACTAATGGATAGATAATTAAAAAATCTATATTCCCCACGTTTTATTTAAATTTTTAAGTTCGTTTTTCTCTTTTAATTGAAATAATTCCGAAAATTGTGTGACTTCTATGATAAAGGGGCGTGCGCAGAGCGCGGGCGGCATTACGCTGTATGCGTTTGTAAGAGGTGACCGTGTCCCTCGTCGCCGTCATCGACGTTCCGTATTTCGCCGCAAACATAATATTATTTGAGTACCTACCAACCGATGCGCTTACGTCACGGTAATATTATTTATACAGTATTGTAACTCGGCCGTATCTGAAATAAATCCTACAGCCGTGCGGTACGTAAACATGTGATAGGGCAGCCTGCCTCCAGCATTTTTACATTTGCCCATTGATTTATATGTTGTATGCATTTGCCTACTTTGTGTTTCCATTTAGTTTTATGATAGTACTTAAATATACTTTTTTATATAAACAAATATATAATAGGTACTTTGTGTATTGAATAGGAAGTGTTCAATAAAAATGCGTGTCGTTTTTTGATTAGTAGATTTAATTAAAAAACCATGTTTATGTTTGAATAACAAATCGGTCTTATAAATTTGCGGCCGAAAAATATTTGCGCCTCGGCTGAGACGTACGAAATGCTTTATTATTAAAATTTTAAGTATAAAAAATCCGCATTATAATATAAAGCTTAATTAAAAATTGTTTTGGGAAACATGGACAAGTTGGAGTAAAGGAATATCTTTTACTTGGTTATAGATACCTGCAGCTATTTTACAATTTATATGTCTGGTTTTAAATGAAGTTTGGATTTATTATTTTCTTATTTCTATTATATTTTCTGAAAGGGTCCTAGGAAAGGAATTGTCCACCGCGCTACCCCAATGCGTGTTGGCGAACTTCGCATGTCTTCGAAATATTTTTTTTTCTTATTTCTCAGACATGCAGGTTTCCTCATAATGTTTTCCTTCACCACTGAGCACGTGGTAAATCAACACTTAAAATTGCAATTACAATTTAATTGGTGCCGGCGGGGCTCGAACCCGGTTTGCTCGCGCACTGTGAAAATTTCAGCAAGCGCTAACCATCTGAGCTACCACGGCTCCTCTCCTCTCGAGCTAGAGACTTTATTTTATTTATGGTACGATTTTTGTCGCATGGCAGCGCTTACTTTTGGTTCTGGCAAAAAGTTGTGAAACGTCTGTGAACGTCAAAATTGTGCAAATGTTGGCAGATATTTTACACAATTTTATTGTGTGAGTATTTTAAACTATTTTTACGGATTTGATGAACCATATTAAATAAAAAATAGTCTCCTATCTTTCTCTCTATCTTTTGATCTCCTAAAACGAGTTTGAGTTGGTAAAATCAAGGCAAACTTAGGGTAGGGTTGTCAATTATTATTTTGATAATAAAACTAGTGAAATTCCGCGGTTTTATATACGCAAGCGTGAACGTAGTTAGAACATAATATAACCTTTATGTTTTACATAAATATCCTAAAAAAACTTATTATTTTAATATGTTACTAAGTACCTATAAAATTAACAAGTTTATTGCATTTTTATTTGAGTAATTTTTTTATGCAATTTCTTTATCTAAGTCTATTTTTAGGAACCTTTATTTAGTCTGAATCATAGATAACACTGTATTACTGATTTACTTACTTATACGTAGTTTTCTTTTTTGCAGTTACAAATATCTTGTGAGGTTGAAAAAGGCAGTAATGAAAAAATAATAAGAATAATAAATAATTGACGTCAGCCACTTCTTTTCATAAAAATTTCAAATCATGGTCCATTAGGTTGCAGCTTCACCGAACCACAACTTATAATAATAATAATAACAATAATACATAACCACTTATATATATGGGCGTATGTATGCACATATGTGTGCATTTAATAGCTGCAGCTGTTTGTTTATAATTTAAGGAAGTTAAAAAATTTGTAATCAATTTCTTTCATTCAAGATAATAAAATTGACTTTACATTTTATTGTGTTCTATTTATTAATACCCACCCAGTATTACTAATCACAAATAATCACAATATCTCATTAGTTATTGCAATTGGGTAAAAAATATCCATTTAGTTACTAATGCTATATTTATTATTTTAATAATTACCTACCCAGTAGGTAAATATTAAAATAATAAATGTAGCATTATAAACAGTAAATCTCCGTCAAACTCAATTTACTAATATTGTTCCTAAATAGGGAATAGCAGATAAAAGATTAGTAATAACTGTTGCTCCTCAAAATTATATTTGACCTCAAGGTAAAACATATCCTAAAATTCTGTATCTAAATAAAATAATAATACCTACTATTCAAGTATATTTTCAATATGTAAGTTGAAAATAACAAAAATTAAGCATCATTAGCATGTAAAGTTCGAATTCATAATTAACATTTCGACAAATATTATAATTTACACTATAAAAAGCTAATTCAATATTAGCAGTATAGTATATAGTTAAAATAATCAAAATAGTCATTTTTATTAATTAGATAATATATTAGAATACATAATTCTAATATAATGCAACTAATATACCGAATAAAGAAAATTAAATTACATTTATCATTGTACGCCGTGTCTATTTCCATAAAATAGTTCATTGACATTGAAAAAATAATACTACGTTCGTAGCAGTAGGTAGCGTCTTGCAGATTTGATTTGATTTGACCGAACGCTCAAGGTCGTTCGCTAGAGGTATCGCCTTAACGCATCCTCGGACCGACGTACACTGCGAACATGCCGATCAATCTAAAGGTGGGGTCCCACGGCCCGCCAGGCGACAGGACGCGCCAGGCGTTCCACCGCCTGTATATGCCTGTCGTGGCCCCTACTGAGCGTTCCCACGGCGTGTGCCGGCCTAGTGCGGCCTGTTGACTGACATTCCAACATGTTAGGCGATACAGAGCGCACGGTTGCGTATGTAGCCGCTGTGGTTTTATTCAGTGGTGAAATTTTGTTAAATCAAGCAAAAAGAAAGCAGAAGAAACGCCGACGCTGGTGGCTGTCGTCATTCAACAAGAGCCGATCAAGGTTGGTACCTAATTTTTACTAGCTATTGTATACCCGATTATTTTTATTTTAGAACAACAGAAATATTACATTTTCTTAATTACTTACAGATATAATGCAACTGATATGCTGAGTGATTTTGTACGGGAACATAGCGGCACATTTGGAAATTTATGCAGAATGTCTTCAGATGATTTCACGTTCCTTCTTAATAAGATTGGCCCTCATATCTCAAAGATTGTGCATTCCAATTCAAGAACGATTTGCTATTGCACTTAGATTTCTAGCTACTGGAGATAGTTGCAAAAGCCTCTCATACTTATTTAAGGTTTCAAAACAAACAGTCTCAAGAAACGTTGACGACGTCCGCAAAGCCATAGTACAAGAATTGAAAGAAGAAGTAAAAGTAAGTTGCTACGTTCATAATAATATTTATTTTAAGAAACTAGGTACATTCATTTTGAGACTCATAAAACTCTTTTAATGTTGTTGTATCTGAAGCCAGATTAGTACTTGCCGTTTGTTGTGCATTATAATTATTTTGAGTGTTTGGTGCTTGTGAGGAAGTATGTGGTGATGGTGATGATTGTGAATAATTGGGACTCTGGTAGGCCGGCGACTGCGATTCAGACCATGGTTGAGGATGGAATGGAGCTGGGAAACTTGGTGAATTCTGTGCAGACTGGGTACTCGGCGAATGTTGTGAAAGAGGAATAATTTGAGTGTATGGTGTTTGTAATGAAATATGTAGTAATGATTGTAAATAATTGTGGCTATAGTAGGCCGGTGACTGGGATGCAGAAGATGATGAATCCTGTGGCGATTGATAGGGGCTTTGGTTCAAGGATCGCATAGGCCTGATGGTAGTTGTTTCAGTGTGATAATCTGGTTATTGAAATTGTTCTTTTTCTCGTCGTTTCAGATGAAACACCAACTTATCTATTTCTAGCATAGCTAATTCTCGTGTGTGTTCCTGTAGACCCCTCAATTTTTCTGCTAATAAATCACAATGCAAAGAAGATACATCTTTTTGCGGCATTTGGCTTATTTGATGCAAGCAATTGTATGCTTTGTCCATCCGATTTTGAGTTTCATTTAGTTTTTTTTTTCTTGGGGATTATTTTTGGAGTTTTGAATGCAATGTCCTATACTTCATTACTTTCTAAATTTTGGTATGATTCGTTACATTCGTCCTTACTATCATCTTCACTCTCATCTGATATCTGAAATTAATCGAGAACTAAGTATTATTATTATGAGGCTTTTTTGTGCACCCTAATATTAACATTAACCTACAATTAACATTTTTTGTTTACAGTTGCCACGGTCATCACATGAATGGTTGGAGGTCGCAAAAGAATTTTACCGCAAGTGGAACTTTCCTCATTGTCTAGGGGCATTAGACGGAAAGCATGTCGTAATACAAAATTCTATTCACAGTGGTTCAGAATACATAAACTATAAGGGAACATTCAGCATCGTACTTTTAGCTTTGGTTGACGCTGACTACAATTTCAATTTTATTGTTGATTGTGGTTGCCAGGGAATAACTAATAAGAATAAGCGATGGAGGTGTGTACAGAAACACGGAGTTCTACAAAAAAATATGTCGTTCTGAAATGGATTTACCACAACCGGATGTTTTACCATTAAAAGAAGAAAAGATGCCGTACGTTTTCGTAGCTGATAGTGCATTTGCCCTAATTGTTAACATGATGAAACCATATGCTGGGAACCATAACAAAGGAACAAAAGAAAGAGTCAACTATCGTCTATCAAGAGCTCGGCGAATAGTCGAAAACGCTTTCGGAATACTGTCTTCTGTTTTCAGAGTACTAAGGAAACCTATTCTGATAAGCCCCGACAAGGTGACGGACATAGTTATGACTTGTGTCTTATTAAATAATTTTCTCAGGAACTCCAAAAAATCCAGGCAAATATACACGCCAGTTGGCAGTTTTGACACTGATCATGAAGGCGTTATTCAACCTGGCTCTTGGCGAAATGAAAGAAGGAATGATTCTCTACTACCACTGAGATCTTTACCACGAAGAGCATCCGTTACTGCTAAGAGCGTCAGAGATAAATTTACTGAATACTTTGTAAATGATGGCGCAGTTCTGTGGCAAAATAACTATTAAATTATTGTTTTATAAGTTTATACTTCAGATTTGGATGAGTGAGATAAAATAGGTACGTAAATGGTAGATTTATACTCGATATAATATAAATAATTAATAATGTAAATTAAATGAAAGTATTTAATTTAATGTATATAATGTAAATAAGTTATACAAAAAATTACTCACTGCAATCGTAGTTTTAGTTTTCCTTGGTTTATATACAACATCCAAAAATTTTGCCATTATGTCGTAGAATGGCTATTCCGGCTTATAAATATTATCGGTGCCACTACCCGTTTTCATAGAATCCTTGACTTTAGTTTTCACTTTTCCATAGGTAGACATTAAATTTTCTTTTTTCTTCTTTAACTCCGCGATAGAGATAGTTCCATCTTTTAATTGAGATTTTATGCGTAACCAAGCATCATGGACATCGTTCTTATTTTTATGTTGAGGCGACGAACTATTAAACTAACCAAAGCGCTGGTTCATTTTCATCATGTGCGTGTACGCGCAGGCGCCTCCGCAGGTGAAATGAACGATTACAACCGACGCAGACGCGCCCGTACAGGTCGCGACAGGCACCGTCGCGCCGCGAGGCGCCGCGCCTTTGATTTTACCGACTCCCGATGGATCGGACGGGCGACAACAGGCCACCGCAGGCCTCATCGGATGCATCGGTTCCCACGGCCTGCCGGTCTGGTCTGGCGCGGTCTGGCCTGTGAGAAAGCAGGCCGTGGGACCCCACCGTTAGGGTGTTACCACACCAATCGATCGATGCCATTAATCGACATCGATCGATCTCGATCAATTGATGTCTTAGCTTTACCTGATCGACGGACACTGGTCGATAAAACGTTGTGGAATCGTCGATCGACAATTTATCGATGTGGTTGTGGCTTCATCATCCAGTATCTTTCAAAACGTATACAGAAGCAGACGCGTTATTGTTGGCCAGTACGCCCTTGCTCGTATTATTATTACGGTGACACAAACGCAGAAGACTCTGGATGCGACCGTTTTTTAAAGCCAGACATAGCTTAAATTCATCTAAACGACATTTTAAATAGCGGTCGGTGGAGCGCGGGGGGGGGGGTTCTCGAATATTCAAGCGGGTCGATCGACGTCGACTAATCCATTCCAACATCGATTTTTGTGGTAATACCCCAATACAAATAAATAAAACTGAAGTGTCTGTTTGTAATATCAAAATAACAGTTTTTTAATAAATGCATGTGACAAAAAAAAACAATTAGTTTAATTTTTTGTTTGTCAAAAAAGGCTGAATCTGATAAAAATGAGTACGCACGGTACATTATTGATGCCCTATAAGGGTATACCAACACTTGAGGCTTCTGCACTTGAGCACAGCTACCTTCTTCTATTAAGTAACTGCGTCAAATTGTACTTTATCAGGTCGTTATTCCATCAATTTGGGTTCGCGTCCTACGCCTAACGGTACAAGGCTGCCCCTCGAAAACTTTTATTGCTGTTCGAATGTCGGTTTGTCGAGCTATATAACTGGTCCATCGTCACTTGTTGTTTAATAATCCTGTGGTCAACATCGATTACAATGATTTTATTCCATCTGCTTGGTCTTTGGTCTTATTTAATTAGCAGTCGTCTTTACTAGCGAAATAAATGAAAAAAATGGCAAGGTCCTATAGTCTCGATCAATGTGGAACATAAACAATCAGTTAGACAACAATGCTAGCTTTCCTTCCGCGTTATTAGCCGATCCTAGACAAAGCAGTTCGCGTGGGTGTGTTACACACCTATGTATGTGTTATGCAAAGTACACGCGTGTTTAGGTACATGCTGGTGTTTCCGCAGGTTGCTGATCTGTCTGAGCTTATAGCCTTACTAATAGTTTGCTAAAGGTTATCAAAAGGTTATTACTGTTTCTTACTTTAAATAACATTAAAAGTGAGTGAAACAATCTGTTAATCATACTAGGGACCTATTAATATGATTCCCAGGCATAAAAGTAGCCCTTATATAGGGTTACTAAATGAAAATTTGAAAAATCCTAATATCCTCGTTTCCGTCCAAAATATTGGTATTTTGTTGTAAACGTGAATTAGCGTGAAAAAGCTCATTAGTTATTGTTTGTGCACGCTCAATCCACGTCTCAGATGGGACGGAAGGAGAGGGGTGGAAACGCCTCCCACGTTAAAACTATTGTATTTTATACGAAAACTGGGAGCCGTGGTAGCTCGGGTGAAGAAGCGGTGAAGCTTATAAAGGCATGTTAAAAATATCAATTATTCTGACCTCAACATAAGATACGACAAAGCAATCTTATTAAATTCGCGTGTACAATTTGACCTAGACCGGTTTCGCTCAGTGCCAGTCGGTGACCTTTTACCGATGCAGATGGACTTTCTATAGCATATAACAAAGCATTCTATAAAACGAGTCTGGTAATAATAAGTTTTTTTATAAACGTTACCGAACTATGTACCGTTAGGTTGGTTCAGAAAGTATGAGGGTTCTTAAAACAGTCAAAATTTTTATAGTAAACTATTTTATTTATCTTACTTCTGCACACGTACAAAACTTAGATTCTAGGAAGGGGATAACTAGCCTGACGTATGGAGGCGAAATCCAGGCGGAGTTAGCTAGCGGAAGGAGCCGATGATACCCAGGTCCGACGGTGAAGATGGCCGTTGGCAGGATGGTAGGCCAACAGTCCGTTAGCTCACAGCAAGGCAGCAAGTAAGCCTTAGGTGGTAGGTGGAACACTAGATATTTCTCCTACATCGCGGAGGCAGGATATGTACGGTATATACATAGGTATATAAATTTCTCTTAACAATATCGTGTTAATTAATAAATTCTGAAAGAAATTGTTTATTTGTTACAACAACAAGTTTAAAACGTGATGTAATTTTAAAATTATCATTATCAATGCATATAATATACGTGTTTGTTTACATGTGTTGAATCTAAATTATAACATTTGCGGTGTTAAGGTCAGGTTAAAAAAAAATTTCTAATTTTAGACACGTTTTTGGCCCTCAAGAACTTTTTAAAATATTATATTATGCAGAGAAAAAAATATGCGCAAAAAATACTCAATGAGATTTTTAATCGAATGTATTTTGAAAACACTATAAATTAACGCAGATAATAAATTATTATTTAATTGCCAAGGAAAAACTTTGAGTTGTCGTTTTTTAAGCGATAACCATAAAAAACATATGATATATGAGAGGACTATTACTGGATTAGATTCTTAATAAGCTCCATTCCTATTTACATCATTTATTTCCTAGTAATATTTCTTTTTATAGATTAAATGTGACAAACGAGCACCCATACCACCTGATGGTAGGTTGTGGCCTATAGACGTCTAAATCTATTCTCGATTGAAATTTAAAATGCAGATGGGTTGTCACTTGTCACCCCTATGAACTCAGATGGAATGCTTCCTTTTACTGGAAAGGTTCCAGGACAAAGAGACTCCGGATATCCACACCCACCATACGATAACACAGCAGCATTAAGCTGCTATTTTACGCTGGTATTCTGTGAGAGCGTGGTTTTCCCTTGGTCTAGACGACCTACTCGTGCTATAACTATAATAGCTGCAGCATGGCTCTACTACGTATAAAATAACATCCATCAATTTCGCAAACACTAAGAATTATTTTATCAATTGGTCCCCGGTCGAACCGATCCATTCGTGATACAAGCACATAATATGGCCACAGCATGGCACCACCACATATAAAAATAGATGGTGTGGCAACCGTCACTGATGCCTCGCAATACCCTCGGTAGCGATGGTGAGGAGCCACGGGGTCCTGGCAGCCACCAATCCCCGGAGGAAAGACTCAGGTAGTAATAGAACCTTTAGATAAAGTACAGAAGGTTTTGTGCATGGGTGGATGGAATCTGCGACCTGAATTGATCGCGAGAATACCACATATTACAATTTAAAAGCTTAAGAGTGTAAGTTTATTCGCAACATTATTAATTTTATAACGCAAAGGAAGGAGTAGAACATTGCTGCTATTTGATACTGCGAAGTGGTTTCCCCTACCTTTACATTTTACATCAAAACTTAAGTAAAAATTTTAACTTAAGTTTATTTAATATACTGTAGATAAAGGCACCGCGCTTCTTGCCAATGGATACATGAGCGCGATGATTTAATCCAATCTACAGTCCTATGAAATATAAATATTGATGAAATACATTCAGAAGAGGGCACCGCAACACTGCTATTGGATATCTTCGTGGCGCAGTGGCTTAGCAACGAGTTGCAGAGCTAAGGACCGCGGGTTCGAATCCCACGGTAATAGTATTTGTATGATCGACAAATAATTATTCCGGGTCTGGGTGTTTGCCCTTGTGAAAATTTATGAATGTAAAGTGTAATGATACTATGAAATAAACTATCTACCTATAAACTACAGTGTATTAATAGTATAGTTGTAGTACGAATCGTTCGGCTCGACCGGGGAAGGACCACGCTCTCACAGAATAATGGCATAAAATAGTAGCTTAATCCTGCTGAGTTTCGTATGGCGAGTGTGCAAAAACGGGATACCCTTTTAATTGGAATCGAGGCATTCCATCTTAATCTTCACGAGTGACAACACATCTGCATTTTGGTTCGTAATCGAGGATAGATGTAGATGTCTATGGGCCACAGCAACCTCTTACCTTCAGGTGGGCTGTGTGCTCATTTATCACCCTATCCTATAAAAAAACTAACATGTCACAGTTGGAAGTCCACGTTTTAAAGCGTAGTTTTTTTTAATTTTTTTTTTTAATTTAAGGACTTACGATATTTTTAACATGTCAGTTCCATTGTACCTTATAACTAAATAACACACTACAATTTCTTAAATTATTTACACAAAATATTAACTAAATTATATACCATTTGAGCAGTATTAGACAATGGTTCACACAGAATGCTTTGATACTCCCCTAGGTTACATATTTTAATATCAGTTTTGGCAACTAATAGTTTCCTTTCATGATGATTTTTGAAACATTCCGCGAGCAATAAAGCGTAGTTGAATTAAGAGCACACGATCGCGTCACGCGTGATACGAGTACGCTATTAGAGCAAAACAAGACAGGGCCGGTGCCGCTGCCGCGATGCGGTGGTATCGGAGCGCTCTATATTGTTTTAACGAGTAAACACATTAGCGCGTCATCGCATTCCGCCTCCAACTCTGATATCTCAGAGTTGATTGACAATAATAATATTTGCATTAAACATGGTATGAAAAAGATTTTACAAATATTATAATTGCATAATATTTGTATTTTTTTTTAATTGAACTTTAAATTTTTTTAATTGAACAACATACTTTTAGGCGTGGTAAATCCACGCTGCAGCTATACGAGTATTATGGTTGTAGCATGAATAGGTCGGCGGCTCGACCGGCGAAGAACCACACTGTCACAGAATACCAGAGTAAAATAGCAGCTTAATGCTGCTGTGTTTCGTATGGTGAGTGTAGAGAACCGGAGACCCGCTTTACTGGAATCGAGGCATTCCATCTTAGTCCTCAAGGGTGACAACGCATCTGCATTTTGATTCTTAATCGAGGTTTAATGTAGATGTCTATGGGCTACAGCATCCACTTACCATCAGGTGGACTGTGTGCTCGTTTGTCACCCTCATCATATTAAAAAAAAAACTTTGCTACAGTTATACATAACAAAAGGTTTTGTTTTTGTACATTTAGGCTTTTGATTCATAAAGTCCATAATGCTTAAGAAATTACGAGGGTGGATTGAAAAGTACTCGGCCTAACCAAGAAAATAAACATATACTAAATCAGTTATATTTTTATTTTTCTACATAATCACCATCAAGTTCAATACACTTTTGCCACCTCCCCTTCCAAGCATTTAGACCGTTGAAAAAAAAATTATTCTTCCTTAGAGTCAAAATATGCGTCTACAGCTGCTTTGACCTCGTCGTTTGTCGAAAATCTTTGACCTCCCAAGTACTTTTTCAGGTTAGGGAACAGAAAGAAGTCTGATGGTGCCAGATCAGGTGAATACGGCGGATGCGGTAACAGTTCAAAGCCACAGTTGTGAATTTCAGCCATTGACTGTACTGACGTGTGAACACGGGCGTTATCTTGATGAAACAGGACTTTTCTTGTGAGCATTCCTCGACGTTTTTCTTTTATTTCCTCTCGTAAACGACGTAGTAAGGTGCAGTAGTAATCAGAGTTTATAGTCTGACCCCTTTCAAGATAATCAATCATAATCACACCTTTCGAGTCCCAGAATACTGAAGCCATCACCTTATTTGCCGACAAAATAGACTTAGCCTTTTTAGGGGGTGGTGAACCAGGTCTTCTCCACTGTTTTGATTGTTGTTTTGTTTCCGGTGTACTGTAATGAACCCATGTTTTGTCCATAGTAACAAAACGATTCAAAAAATCATCTGCATCGGCTTCAAATAACTCCAAACAGTCGCGTGAAATAGTCAATCGCGTCCTTTTTTGTTCAACTGAAAGCAGTCGCGGAACCCACCTCGCAGACACCTTGTGGAAACCCAACTCGTTGACAATGATGTTTTGAGTTCATTCATAAGAGATGCCTATAATCTCGGCTATCTCTCTAATTTTTAATCTGCGGTCTCCCATTATTAAATCAAGTACTTTTTTAATATTTTCGTCAGTAGTTGACGTCGAAGGCCTTCCAGAGCGGGATTCATCTTTCACACTCTCTCTACCACGCTTAAATTCTGCTATCCATTTTTTGACGGATGAATATGACAGAGCACAATCGCCTAATGTACTGACCATGTCATCATGGATGGCTTTTGATGATAGCCCCTTCTTATGGAGGTACTTAATGACGGCACGCTGCTCGATTTGCTCCATTCGCGGAAATTATGTCCGATTACTTTGTTAATAAATTTATAAAATCACAACTAATTATCGCACACGTTTCGAACTTCACACAATGAACTAGTCTGAACTGAACTAAATAATATGGGTAGATTTGATTTTTAGAATTGAATGGATCTGTGTTAGGCCGAGTACTTTTCAATCCACCCTCGTATTTTTAATTAAGTATTTTTGTAATTTTGTTTTATATAATCTAGTATTTAACATTTTATAATTATTTAGTTGCTTGTTGTATAAACGTACTCACATAGATAAATAGCTTTCATTATATTTTACTTAGTCTAGGATTGTCACTTAAAATGAGCTCGTATGGGTTTCGATTGGAATTTTTATGTTGTCATATTTCAGGATATTTTTATATAGAATAAGCTTCACAAACGACTTATTCTATATCTTTCTATATCTATATTCTACTTTAATTATGACCTATGTCCGAGGATCTAATCCAGTGTAACCCTTAAAAGACACAGATTTGCGCCTTTACGTCCAAAAACCCCTTTGTCGTATTTCTTCAATTAGTCACGTTTACGTTTGTAAAACATGTACTGTATTTGATCATAAATAACATGACAAAAGCAATGATGACTTCTTGATGAAATCTTTTGTGATTTGTAACGGTTTGTCGCTATATTATGTAAATACGTGTCTTTATTTCAGCTAGAAAACGTGATGTACGTGTATTGTGTGTAAGACAGCCGAAATGGCTTATAACAAGTTTCGATATTATAAAGGTTGCTATGAAAAATAAAGAAACGAGAAGATGAGTTAGAACGTGATCATTTTTTTTAGTAGATAAAGGGTGCCTAACGTAAGTGGGTGCTGTGACCCATATGCCTACATCTACATTGCAGATGCGTTGTCACCTCTGAGAACTAAGATGGAACATCTCGTTTCTAGTAAAAACGGTCTCGGGTTCTCTACACTCACCATACAAAACACAGCAGCATTAAGTTGCTAATTCACGCTGGTATTCTGTGAGAGCGTGGTCCTGCCCCGGTCGAGCCGACCCATTCGTGCTACAACCATCTGCGGTGTGGCTCCACTACGTATAAATCTTACTTACACACTAAAAACTTTATTGTGATTTCATACGTGTTTTTTTTTTGTACCTTTGACAATATTTAAACTTAATCTCATAAAAGTTAATTTGTAGCAGACAGACAGCTATTTTTAAGAACGTAGAGCCATGCTGTAGTTTTATTTTTATACATTGCTTATAATAGCAGCTTATTCCTGCTGTGTTTTGGAACATATAGAGTAAAGTTCATCATGAAGAGTCCCTCTTTCTCCATAAAGTCGGCCAGCTGCTGGCCCCTTAGGTTTCGTTACCCTATTCTGAATTTCCCCACTTTCAGCTCACCGTTCTCTCTTATGCCTAGTTTTGCGTTGAAGTCTCCCAAGTGGGTTTTGGACAAATGCATGGCTCTAGAGATATTCTCATACATTTCCTCTACCGGATGTGCCGAGTTTGGTGCGTAAACCTGTATGACCTTCAGCGAATACCGTTTGGTGATTCTGATTATAAGGTACGCAACCCTTAACGACACACTCCCAATCTTTTATATATTGTTAACGAAAGACTTGTTGACGATAAATCCGAGACCTCCTTCGGACAGATGGTCGCCCTCCTGGTGGTAGAACAAGTTCCCGGATTCGAGAATTACCGTGTCCTCTTCCTCTATTCGGACCTCAGATAATCCCATAACACCCTAGCGCAACTTGTCTATCTCTTCTTCTAGCTCCAGGATCTTCTCGTCAGTCCTCACGGTGCGTACTTTATATGTTGCCAGGTCGAGTTGTCTTAGGTGGCAGCCGAACCTCCACCGGAGATTCTTAGCACTTCTGCCCCGCCGTTACCATGGTCGCCGCCGTAGCCAAGAATACCGCCGAGAACTGGGGGCTGTTTATTTGTGTCCTTTCTCATGGGGGGTATATTGCCATAGATGCCACGCTTTGCGAACGGGTTGACAACTGCAGTTTTTGATTGATTTATGCTATTATCATAAAAGATGATGCTGCCCATCTCCGTTATATATAATCATCGGTTTGGTTATTATAATATTAAGGAATTTATGGATTATAATAACCCCTGGGAAGGGTGATCGCTACCAAGCTATTTCTAATTTGTCTTGTGTTGTTAATTGTAAACATGATTGTAAGCTGTTATTTGAAGGAAAAAAAATAGTCCCGATGGATTTCTTGCTGGTTCTTCCCAGGACAGAGGTTTTTTTTTGCGAACCAGTGGTAAATGAAAAAAGTGACTTTCAATAACTATTGTTTATAATATACATTGAAAAAAATATCTGTTTCTGTTTCGGTGTTAGACAAAAAATACAAATGTTTAACAATAATAATGAAATGTGTAAAACATCATACTCGTAACATAATTGTTACGAACAGGCAGTTTGGAAGTACCGTCATCGATGGCATTAGTAGATGTCTGCTGCTTGGTGAGACGTATTGATACCTAATTATCATAACTAATAACACAATTATAACTAATTATGTATAAGTTACTGTACAATTTATCAACATCGCTTCTTATGTTAATTAGCGTGTACTTGTTAATAATAATTATTATGTGAATTAGATTGCTTTCTGTATGTTTGGTCACTACGCTATATTATCGAATGACATGAAATAAAATAAAAGAAAAATGTTTCTCTGACGTAGGAAATTAATATTTCTGTAGAGGCATTTTTTATATGATAAGGGTGACAAAGGAACACACAGTCCACTTGATGGTAAGTGGATGCTGTGGCGCGTGGACATCAACATCTATCCTCGATTAAGAATTAAAATGCAGATTTGTTGTCACCCCTGAAGACTAAGATGGGATGCCTCGTTTCCATTAAATAGGTCTCCGGGTCTCTACACTCACCATACGAAACACAGCAGCGTTGAGCTGTTATTTTGCGTTGGTATTCTGTGAGAGCGTGGTCCTTCCCCGGTCGAACCGCCCCATTCGTGCTACAACTATACCACTAATATGGCTCTCTACCACGTAATTTCATGATACGCCGCCATTTCATTATTTAGCCGATGGTTTATTCGTCATAGCACCTTGTGCCCAATGCATATAATTATTACACGGAATGTAACAACCAACCCAGTGGTCCTTTTAGGGACTTATAGATGTTAATATGAAATTTATGACAGTGAAATTTTGTTTAGATCGTTATAAAAGGGATTTCAATAGCCACCGTAACACGACACGTTCTTTCACCCGCGATTGCAGTGTGCACGATTGAACGCGAGAAAGCTTCGACGCGAAATCGTGAGTGATTGCTTTTATGCATTTTTTTTTAATGTGAATTGACTCTTTCGCGCGTGTTTCAGAACGGGAAACTTCTTCTATTTGCAGTGCATGAAAATCATGCAGCTTTGTTACACACACGTTCCGAAGAGTAGTGTTCTAAATAAAAGAATAAAAGGGTTAGAAGAAATATAACACAAGCAATTATGTTTGCTGGTCTAAGCGTATAATACATATATTATAAATATGAGTAACTAAATTCAATCTTTTGAAAAAAAGTTATTCACATTTAAACTGATACGCGCATCGGTAAAGCTCTTTGACAGTACTCTTACTCCCTACGGATAATACCGAGGTAATACAATAGCATACAATTTGCAAATAAAAATGTTAAAGTCAAAGTTACAGTCTATATACGTCCCACAGCTCGGCACAAGCCTCCTCTCATTTCTGAGAGGGTTATTAAAAGTTTATTAAATAAAAATTTATTTAAAATTAAATTAATTTTTCACAGTCGAGTTTTCTGACATAAAATTATTCCTATAAGTGCCTGATTGTGGCAAAGCCCTGAACCAAAGGACTTTTGTTACGTGTTGTATTAATGTATGCAACTTACCCGCACGTTAACTGACTATCGCTGATATTAAAAGATAGCTGCAGTCGTACTCGTAATAATTAACAGAAGTTAAAGTAATAAATTATCAGCCAAATCATACAATAGGAAAGCAAATTTATACTGCAGATATAAACGGCACGGCAGTGTCAGGAAGTCAGGACGCCCTAGACGAAGGTTTATCGATCTAATTTACTGACCCTTTATTACTGGAAACGAGGCATTTCATCTTAGTTCTCACGGGTAACAACGCATCTGCATTTTGATTTGTAATCGAGGATAGATGTAGATGTCTATGGGCCGCAGCAACCACTTACCATCAGGTGGACTGTGTGCTCGTTTGTCACCCTATTCTATAAAAGAAAATTGGCGACATATTGAAAATGGGCCCGATTAGGAGTAGCATTAACCAAGAGCGTGTATGCGCGGATATATGGATGAAAAGGAGGCGAGATCATGCCAAATGGAAGTCTCTCGTCTCGTTTCTGCCTACCCCTCTGGGTGACAGGCGTGTGTGTTTATCTATCATACAACTGCGACGTATAATCAAGTACCCCGGCAGATTAAAATTTGCCCAATTTTTACATGCAGACAAAGGAGACGGTACATTTCAGGCCCAGTCTATGTACGCTATACCGTGAAAAAGCGAAAATTTTGGACTTTTATTAAAAATAAAATAAGAGAATAAATCAAACTAAATGACTTGCTAAAATTAAAAATGCAATTTTTGATGATTTTACAAGACGGCACCCTTCGAGTCAAAAATTATATGCCAAATGTCATGTCTGACACGTGACTTGAGTCAAGAAATAATATACCTAAAGGTAGTGTGATTTTTTTTTTTTTGTTTAGTCCGAGCTTGTTCGCGTATAGTTGTAAACTCGTGAATGCGTTTCTTTTGGATTTCTTTCGTGATTTGGGTTTTTTTATTTAGTTTTTGGATCTGTTACTACTTGTTACACTCTGATTTTGTTTTATGGACTTCATCATTACGTGACATCTGTAGAATCACATTTTGAATCACTAGGCATTTTATTTCCTCCTGAATTGTATTGATATTGATATGCAAATATCAACAAGAACGTTACTTGTTCCAAGACCAAAATAGCACATCCCCAATCATTAATGCACTTTATTCGTGTTTTATCAAAAATACAACACATTTTGGTCATTGTATATAATAAATCTACCTGGGCCATCAGTGATAAAAATAACACAACATTTCAGAATTCAAATATCTGTCAATAAATTGATCAATAACCTCATAACAGTTGACAGCTGACGTCAAAGGACATCAATTCGCTATTAACACATTCGCGTAGTGTATAATTTCTTTGTTACAGGTTTTGGTAACAATAAAATATTAATACCAGTGAAATAAAGGCAAATTTGTGGATTTGAATGACCAAAAATGGTATAATATATTATGTTAATTTATTTCTCTACCTGTACAAAACCAGGCCTACGCTTTATACAATTTTGGACCGTCTCCTTTACGAGATAATTACAGATCGGCGCTCCTGCATTGCAGTTCATTTAAAAAAAAATTAAGTGAATTTTATAACGTAAAAGTGGTGCAATTTTCACACGTGATTGCAAATATATTATGGTTGAGTCACAAATGGGTCGGCTCGACCGGAGATTGACCACGCATCACAGTAATCGATGCATTCCATCTTAGTCCTTAGAGAACGCATCTGCTTTTTGATTCTTAATCAGGATAAATGTGTATGTGTAAGATGTCTTTCGGCTACAGCATCCACATCAGATGGACTGTGTGCTCATTTGTCACTTAAATGCCTATTTAGAAAAACTTTAAGATAGGATTGGCATCGTCTGTCTGTTAGGTATTCATTGAATTCACTATCAGAATAAAATGTATTACAAATTACGCAATATCATCAATGCAATAGATGTATGTTATAATAAAAACTGACATATTAATGACATGTTCATTAACATTGTAATCAGAAATGTACAAAACATTGAAATAATACTAGTTTTTACGGAATTTATCGCGTATATTTAACTTTTTAAATACCCGACGTTTCGAACGCTTTACAGCACTCATGGTCACGGGCGGGACTGAGATGTTCAACGTCCATATGTCATAGTTAACCGCGGTTACCATAGATTAAAATTTAACTTTTGTTCCGATCTATACAGTATGAACTTATGGTATCTTGAAGTCTTGCAGTTGTATGCTTGGGTTGGGATTTAATTTTATTTATTATAGGATCCCAAGCAGATGGTAGCACCCAGCCATCTTCTCTATTGAAATTAGGATGTTTTTTGATTTCAATAGCCTCGCGAATCATCCTTGGAAGGAATCGGTGTTCTTTAGCGAGGATTTGCGGTCTATCAAATCTGATGTAGTGACGGGGGCGATCCTGTACGTGTTCACAGACTGCAGACTTCCCGGAGCGTCGATTCTTCACATCAGCTATATGTTCTTTAACGCGGGTTTTTATTGATCTTTTAGTTTGTCCTATGTAGGAGAGACCACATTCACAATCAAGCTTGTACACTCCTGCATCTTGCAGAGAGACATTACACTTGACTGATGGTAAAAACTGACCAATCTTCTTCAGCGGCTTGAAGTATGTTTTGATGGAAGCGCGCTTCAAGATGTAGCCAATCTTGTCAGTGACTCCTCTAACATATGGCAGTACAGCAGATACACGCTCGACTGTGGCCGGCTTCACGTTCACGTTCACTGTGGACGTAGGCGCGGGACTCGAAGCTTGTTGTCATGCAAAACTTGCTTGACATGGTGGAGCTCGCCAGCCAGGTGTTTACTATCACATATCCCTCGTGCTCTCTGAAACAAAGCCTTTGACGCTGCTGCCCAAGCCCCGGTCTGGGTATTTTATGTCAGACGTAAACGAGATGATTGTATCGACATCTATTCGAAGCCACAAGATCATCTCTTTCGACACCCGTTTTATACTTATAAGCAGTGCATTTTTATAGCATTGGCTTATATTGGCTTTTTTATAGCACACAGTCCACCTGATGGTAAGTGGATGCTGTGGCCCATAGACATCCAAATTTATAAATGCCCAGATTCCAGTAAAAAGGGCCTCCGGTTCTCTACACTCAACTCAAACACAGCAGCATTACGCTCCTATTTTACGCTGGTATTCTGTGAGCGTGGTCCTGCGACGGTCGAGCCGGCCCATTCGTGCTACAACTATAATATAGCTGCAGCGTGGCTCTACCACGTAAAAAATATAATACATATTAATGCATACTTAATTAAGGATTAATGTAGATGTCTATGTTCCACAGCATCCACTTACCGTCAGATGGACTGTGTGATCAGCCCGAAAGTCAACCGATTAGTGCCAAAACCGTAACACAGTTAACGGCATGGCTTTATCACATATAAAACGAATTACGAAGTTTGCGGAAAACATTGTTAACATAATTATCTCAAGCTCACTGCGCGTCCGTTATGCTCGTGTCCAAGCTATTATTTATTGTGTGGTCTACGGGACATCGATGCGTCATCGGCCCACAACGTCGACTCGTCACATCCACGTACGAGTACAAGGTGAAGGCCGTGGCCGCGATTAAGCAATTTGTAAATCGTACG